GCAATCCATCTATTTGCTGAAGATGTTCTGCAATCCATTCACTCACTTATTGATTGCCGGGTTGAGGCACGAAGTGCTGAATTGGTAGCCCAGATGCGCAATCCTGCCTTCCATAATCCTTTTGATTGCCAGGGATGAGGCACGAAGTGCTGAATTTGTGCCCATTTTTGCAATTCTGCCTTGTATATTCCCATTTGATTGCCGGGTTGAGACACGAAGTGCCAAATTGATTCAGGCTATATTGCTTTCATACTCTTTTTTCGTGTATTCTCCTGATACTTTCCGCCTTCCTGACCTCTTTCCTGCCTATTGCCGGTAGGCCCCCAAGTTCTAACTTTTTTATTTTCTTTCCTATATATAATTCTAACTTGGGGTCCTACCAAATCTTTACCCTAGTTTGCACCCTCGCCTTCCTAGAATCCTTCCTTGTATAGTTGCTACTTTGGGGTACTATTATATCGATTGTTTTTGGGTATTACTTTTGGGTACTATCACTGACCCAATACTATACCGGCGATCATATAGATTTTTTATTTGAACTTTGCATGTTTCTTTGTTATTTTATACTAGTTTCTTGCATATACTTCATGCTATCTGCGCAAAAAAAGCAATCCCCGGGCCCTGGAGTAATAGAGCTTTTCTCAGGCTTAACTGACCTTGATTATAAGCCTGGTCATAATAATCATGTGTATTTCCAAAACTTGTCTATCAGTAAAGATGATGTCGCTCTTCTAGATACTTATGATCCTGAAGAGATTTTTGATAAATATATAGTTCGTGTGGCAGGAAAGGGTTTTACAGTAATTAATCATCCATCCGAAGTTTATGGATTACCCGATACCCATGAGTGCATTGATGGGAATTTGCCTCTCCGCCTGGTTCTGGATATTGATGCGAGACAAAAGCCCGATCCCATGAATCCTAAATTTCCTTCCTTAGATGAGAGTAAAATTTCTCGTGAAGATTTATTATACAGAATTTTAAATGCCTGTATCGATATTATAAACTCTGATTTGAAACATTTTGCAATATTAGACGCTTTTACCTTAGCCAGTTCGTCTAATGCTGATAAATGCAGTTGGCATATTATGTATAAATATGCACGGTTTGTTGACTATAGAGATCTTAAGGGTTTTGTGGAAAAAGTTGCTGATAAGGTTGGAAAACCATACTCAAAGTTTATTGATATTGGACTTTATAAATATCGCTTTAGTCTCCGGCTTCTTGGATCAGCAAAGGAAGATAGAGTTAAAAGACCTGCGATATCTTCAGTTAAGAATGAATATCTCAAGCTAGAAGATTATTTAGTTCAACCTAAATCTAATTATTCTGAAATCTGGCCTCGAACTTTTTCTCCTGAGAAGCCAGAAAGAGAGGAGTTTCAACCTATCGAAGATGAAACTGCTTTAAGCAAGGGAGCTAGTCAAGTTACCGCAAAATATGAATGGCTTGAGATTGGTAACATTAGAAAGGGATTTGTCAATTTTCAAGTTCGGTCATTGGAAGCATGCCCTATTTGCGACATCAAACACGAAAAAGACCAGTTATATGGCTTTCTTCTGAGAGATGGACGCTTTGTACTCAAATGCTATCGGCAAAAACAATATAAACCTGATCATAGAGGATTGGTGTTTAAGGGAGCATCAGATATAATCAAGCCGAAAGAAAGACCTAAACAAAAGATTGTTGATAGAATGGCCAATGCCATATCAAATCCATACCCACTTCATGAACTATCTGAAGGAGTTATTAATGTAAAGGAGATGGAAGATTTCTCAGAAGCTTATCCCGATTTCTTGAACGAAGTGCCTAGTACAACTCTGATTCGCTCCCCTATGATGACGGGAAAAACAAAAGGTTTAAGAAAACATCTCCATTCCTTAGCCAGGAGTAAAGCTAGTTTGCTCTGCATTCTCTGGATTTCTTACCGAAGAACTCTTAGTAATGAATCACTGGGTAAAATTAATGATCTTAAATTAGCTGGGCTCAGAATCTGTAATTATCAAGACGAACAGAACTTATCTGTAGATAAGTGGGATATTATTATAGTCCAGGTTGAGAGTCTTTCTCGTATAGAGTTCTCAGCCCGTCCGATTGTAGCTATTTTAGACGAAGCTAATGCAATTCATCGCCAAATGAGTAGTGGTGTAAATGCACGAGAATCTGAGAGTGCGATGCGTGACGTACTAAAAACGGCCCAGCATGTACTCGCAATGGATGCCTTTGCAAATGAGTCGACCCTAAACTTCCTCAAAGCCTATCGTGGAGATGATATTCGGGTGATCGATAACAAGTTTCAGCCTCTTGTAGGTAAAACCGTAGAGTATCTTTATGATCCAAATAGTGGAGCTGAAGCTATGCGTATAGGGTGTAAGCTACTAGAGCAAGGTAAGCGCGTGGCCTTTGTTCTGACTAGCTGTGGTATGGCTCGAGCATTGGTAGAAAAAGTCTCTAAATTGCAAACGCCAGATAATTCCCTTGTCAGAGCCCGTGCTTATTATGGTGATATGGACGGAAAACAACGAAAAAAAGACTTTTCAGATATAAATACTGCTTGGGGTGAACTTGATTGTGTAGCCTATACAAGTACAGTAGAAGCGGGCATATCTTTTGAAAAGACTGATCACTTTGATGCAGTTATAGGCATTACAAATATTGTAACTCCAGTTAATGTTGAAGCTTTTGTCCAAATGATGTTCCGAATTCGTGATTGTAAAAGGCGTATATTATCCCTCTATTATCAAAGAAATTCTAGTGAGCTTTTTCGCCCGCCAGGTTATGAGAATATTCGTTCCGAACTGGAGAGTGCTCGACCTAATGATTTGCCTACAGCAATAAGGGGACATCGCGAATGGGATAAAAATATTATATCATATAAGCTTGATCAGTCACCGGCCGTAATATCATACCTTGAAGTTGAACATCGGAAACGCCTTTCTGTAAGAAATTTCATCAAGATATCATGCAGTCTCATAGCTAGTACTGGCGCTTCTCTCCAACTAATAAAAATGGATGACAGCCAAGGAGTTATAGGGAATCGTAAGAAAATCCGCAATGAGGTTAGGATTGGAGCATTAGTTATCAAAGAAGCGGATTTTAGCGCAGTTGCTACTTCCCGGAACCTTGATCCTGAAGAAGCTGAAATTCTTAAGTTTGATCAAGAACGTTCTATTGCAGATACTATGGCACTTAAACGTTTCTATATGTGGAATCTTTATGGCGGTAAAGATATGAGTACCAAAGATTGGGATGATCTTTGCAATAAGAAATTCATAGAACGTTTTAGTCCACCTGAACCTCGGAAACATTTTCTGCGCCTATCTCAATTCCGGAAGCAAGGTTGCGATGAAGAGAGTGCGATGAAAGGATTGGAAGCTAAAGATAGTGCTCAGTGGGAAGATACCTGTTATAAAGCTGAAGAGAATTTAGAAAAATCAATAATAGAGGACTTGCGTAAAACTTATTCGGCTAATCATTGGAAAGTTATACAAGAACTTTTTAAGATATTGGGTTTTACCGGCATAGATGATAAGCGTATTCTTTCTGGTAGTATGGTATCAGAAGCGTTTACGCAATCCTGTGAAAGATTTATAGAAATTCGAGATCAATCCTTATTGCTCTTTGGTTTTAAGTCTCATGCTAAGACAACACCAGATCTTAATTCGGCTATAAAGGCAATCAATGCAATTGCTGGAAATTGGTGTGGCTATACAGTTAAAAGCAATCGGAAAAAAATAGGATCTAAAGAAAAGCAGGTTTGGGAACGATCATATCGAATTAATCGTCAACCGTATAAGGGTCTTGGCTTTGGAGATAAAGGCGCACCAGAACTTCCACCATATAAGCCAAGAACAGATAACGATATTCAGGAACTCTTTGACTCTATAGGATAGGAGGGGTAATACTTTGCCCAGATCGTTATTCGGCTAAGTCTTGACCATATTAGATTCTGTTTCAGTTTTTTTACTTTCGCGTAAAGCACTGTCATAAGGTCCACTATGTGTGCTACAGATTCCGGTCTTGGAATAGGTTCCCATCTTACAGATAGGGCATATTGTTCTAGGAAGGGCATTAAAATGTCTGGCACATCCTAATTCACTCATGCACCCTTTCCTACAAATCTTACCATCTCTCTTGATGTATTGGCAGATAAAACGACCCATACGAGGTAATTTTGATATTAATAATCTTAAAACTTCATTTTCACTTTTATTATAGATATTCAAAAATGCGATACTCTCAGCGGGTCATATCTCCTGGGATATAATCGAAGAAATGGTCATGCAAAGCGCCTGGTTTGGAGAACCCTGGCCAGGTGGAATATTTTTTTCGAATTGAATTTTTTCTCACATAATATAACTAGATAACAGTTAGTATTGACATGGCTACCAAAACTGCTACCCCAAAGACCCGAAAATCTAAAGCTAATAACCATGTTGGCATCTTAGAGTGGTTCCTAGAAAAGCATAATCTGACGGCCGACTCCACTCCAGAACAATTAAGCGAACATGCTCCTGAACTGGATTCTTTACTTCCTGCTGATGATTGGATGGCCCGCAGGTGTGTTAAAGTTGCTCTTGCCAAAGGTACTAAAAAAAGAAGTGTATTTAGCAAAGAGCGAATAGAAGCTCTCTTGCCAGATAAGAGAAAAGGAAAACTCACCATAGAGGAAAGGGCAAAATACTGTGCTAAAACTGGTGATTTTATAGACATAGTTGCTAATCATTGGTGTTTGGGTCCAAAGAGCAATGATGAAAATGAAATTGTTGCCAGCGTCGCACGTCAGTCAACATTCCGTATGAAGTTAGCAGAAGGTGGTGTAGATCCTACAATTATTGAAGAATTTGCCAAAGATCAAAAACGTATTCAAGAGTCTAATGAAATTCAGAGAA